TCTCTCTCTCTCTCTCTCTCTCTCTCTCTCTCTCTCTCTCCCCCCATCCACAAATCATGTTCAAAACCCTCATCCGCTAGTCGTCTATCTATGCTCTCCGCAATTATCACCCTGCATGGCTCATTGAGAAGTCTACTTATAGATCAGCAAGTGCCTTTGCGTGGGAATCTCAACAAGAAGCTCGAGTATTTCGCTCATGGTTAAAATAAATAAAAATAAAATTGTACCACACATGCACGGATTGCGCATGTAGAAGGAATTTGGGCCAGGTTCAACAAAGACTCAATACAGGACATCGCCGAAAGCCACATACCATGGAGCGCATCCTTCAGACTCCCGTTGGGAACATACTCATATATGAGCGCTTGATGATTCTGGTCATTACAGTACCCGATAAGCCGAACAAGAAAGCGATGCCTCAGGGGAGATAACGCTTCCACCTCCTGCAAAACAGAGGGAGAAATGAGCGGGTGCAACGACCAAAAATCCTCTCGTCAGATCATGTCCGTTTCAACTGCTCATCAGCCAAGCTCCGGCGTCAGTGATAATTTGGTTGATGCAGCAGGCAAACAGGAGAAGGTCATGGAACTCGCCACACAGGAGACGGTCATGGACCTTCCATACTATATCCCACCCCTTCTACCCGGTTCTCTCCCTCTCAGTCCCACACCGCACCACTCAAACACATTCTGTCAGAAGAAAGGAATCCCATGTCGGTGGAGTTGGAAACTTACCGTCTCCTTCCCCTGGTTAGAATGAGGCGTCACCATATCCGTATCTAGAGCACGATTCAGTTCAGGATCGTTTCGCTTGTGGGAAAATGATACGCACAAACTTGGCCATCAAAACAGACTTCTAGCCAGGGTGGCGGGGGGGGGGCGCGTAGAGCCCCCTCCGGCGACATACCCAGCCCATGTGGCTGAATCCAACACATATGGAACTGTTGATAAACAGGTCATGAGTTCGAATCCTGACTGAAACAGATGGACTCGCTAGTCCATCCATGGTGGTGATTGGATGCAGGGAGGAAGGCAGAGCTTGATGCCCACACATTGTTTAAGTCGAGGAGACACTCTGAGGCAGTAGTACTCATGGCATCGATTTAAAGCTTGAAATTCTGAAGTAGCATGCACATTTGCGAGAATAAAATAGCACAAATTGGGGTGCATAGCTGTTCTTCACCCCATGAAATCATGCGCTGTAGAGATTCCACCTCTTATTCCACTCAGATAACTAACAAAAGAAAGAAACTTTAAGTAAAAAAAAAAAAAAACAGAACCAAGAACGAACTCCGTTTGCACCATAGTTCTTTTTGTCCTTCTTTTCCCACTGAAAGTCTAAACAGAATTCTGATCGTGTTTTTCTGACTTTTCTTTTGATCACCCGAAGAGAATTATGATAGTAGCCCAAGCGGAGAATCGGAACCTGTTGCAGTGAGAGTGGATCGGATCGTCACATCATTCCATCTTCAACTGTGTTAAGTATCATGAGCCACCATGTTAGATATAAAAGATGCAAAAGACCAACCGAGTATGCAGTGATGAAGCAAGACAAGAGCACCATGCTGGCAGAATCGAACACAGAAGAACCGTGGATGATCGTCACAACAGGAAAGAGGTGCACCAGCAGAGCAGAGTGGGCCTAAGTAGATCTGAAGCACTGACTTTACACTTATCAGGCGTATACTCTCACCCAACTGAGTTACGGGCCCATGCTTGGACAGACTTGAACTCTCAACCCCCAAATCTGTAGCTTGGTGCTCTATCCAATTCAGCTACAAGCCTACACGCACATTCGTTCGTCCCTTCCGTCTAAGTGTCCCAACACCGGGCCCAGAGAACACAACAGGGAAGAGGCAACAGCGTAAATGAGCAAGGATAAACCAGTCCTGGCAAGAGACGCAAAGCAGAATGGGACTGTGGATAAAGGAGTCCCAAGTTCCCAACACCCCAACAGACGCCAAGCAGAACGCGACCATTGCACGATCGTCGCCAGGGCCAGGTGTCGGGCCCACATCACTAAACACTGAAGCGGCATGTGCAGATGAATAGGCAATGAAGTAGTCGGTAAATGACCTTTCGAAATTCTTCCACGCCCTGTTTGGCATTGCTCTTCAGCAACTTGATCGCCACTGTTTCCTTGGACGCGAACTGGCCTTTGTACACGTTGCCGAATCCGCCGGAGCCGATCTTTGTCTGAAAGTTATTTGTGATGTTATGAAGCACAGGATACGTGAACACTCGCATTCCGTTGCTCTTGTTTATCTCCAGATCACTAAGGTTGATATCGCCTCTTGCCGCGTCTGCAGGCACACACATATGGTCAGTAAACTCTGTAGATTGAAGTTTCAAGTTTCAACATCAAACCTTTTTTTTTTTTTTTTTTTTTTTTTTTTTTTTTTTCAAGTTTCAACATCAAACCTGACCCACACTTCAGAAAAACAGGGGGACATAAAACCCACAGAACAAGTGGCAGTCCAAAAGCTGGTGAGAACTAGCTAGAGGCACCCAAACAGCATTTCAAATGATCACCGGTCACCTAGCCAATGATATGATGTACATTACAGGAACGTTGAACGCGATTTCCAGCAGTTGCTGCTCCCCACCAATAGATGGAGCCTTCAAAGCGGGAACTTGCTTAAGGGGGCTGCTAGTACCACCTCGGTAAGCGAGACCCCCTGTGACTGAAGCTTTCCCAAAAAAGAGGCCTCTATAAGCGCAGACAAACCTTTATTTTCCCGATTGTTCGCCATCCCTTCTCTCACTCCTGCCTCCCACTCTTCTCCCTGTTCCTCCTCCAATTGTGTCAACACACAATATCTTTTGCAATAGCTTCTTCTTCCCTGTTGCTCTATTTTCCTCCATCCCAAAAAAGAGCTCTCTCTCTCTCTCTCTCTCTCTCTCTCTCTCTCTCTCTCTCTCACACACACACACACACACACACACACACACACACACACACACACACAGAGCACAGGCAATAGCCCAAGTACTTACGTCACAGTCACATTTCTTCTTCTTCACCCCAACCCTGTCACTGACCCCTGTCCCAGCAAGAGCCTCCTGATAGGAAGCCTTAGACACTCTTGTATAGGCTGGTCCTGGCCAGTTTGACAGGGGATGGAAGCACTGGTAGACAAGCAGCTTTTTGGGTGGGAGCTGGGGGGGTGAACAAAAAGGACGTGAAAGCAATTCGAAAAGATCACCAGGTGCGTCTTCCCCGGCATCTGTTGAAATAGAACGATGCAGAGAAGATCAGCATGGCCCCTGTGCAAGGATGATACGTATAAACTACTCTGAAGTACTATAAACAGAGAATGGGCCAAATTATTGAAAAAAAAAGAGGAAAAACAGATGACCAGGTGACTGAAGGCACTTTACACCCCGTGATGCCAATTCAGCTATCTTACAAGGAAAGACACCCCAACCTTCCCCCACCAGTTTCCCGTCCCTCTCCCCTCTCCACATCACCCACGGGGAATTGGACCTCAACTACCGGTAGTGGACAGGGCCCGCACATCCCTGCGCCTTCACAACATGCGATTTACACATGTACTACCACTTCTGCCACTTTTCACCGTGCTCTGAGCGCAAACTGGGGGTAACCCCCCCTGCAGCTACCCAAAGCTAGGCCAGCAGCAATAGCCATCAGTAACAGCCACCAATGCCATTGCACTTGCAGGCATGCTCACGGTCAAAAAGTTTCAATAAATTCAAAGTCTAATGACTATGTGACTTGTTTCCCCCTCCATCCGTGCCTGTGCTCTCATACCAGCCCTGGATCTTTTACAATAACACATGGAAAAGCTCAAGGCCACAGTTCACCCAAAGTCAGCACAGCCACGTTGATGCCAAATTCGGTAGAGAGGAGAAAGATGACTCAAACAACCTGGGTATTCACATGAGTTACGACGAGTACCTTTGGGATTAAGAAGCTGGACCTCACGGTTGCGATTAGGAGAAAAGATCATTGTGTCCCCTCTCCTCTTTCTGCACAAGTAAAGGGTAAGAAGTGCCAGAATTGCCAGAAGCAGAGCGATGCCCAGTACCATCACAGGTATAAGAATTTTCAGGAATTTCGTTTTCTTTTGGCTCTGGTTTTGTTCAGAATCGTCGTTGGAGGGATCCCGATTTGGAACCGCCAAAGGGACATTTGCAGATAAGCCAGAGTCATGCCTGTAAACGCACACACACACACACACACACACACACACACACACACACACACACACACACACACACACACACACTCACACACACACAGACACAGACAGAGTATGTGGATGGAATGAGAAAGAGAGTTTGGGGATGTTGACTAAAACAGGCACACACACACAGACACAGACACAGACACAGACACATGCACACACATGCACACACAGAGAGGAACACCAGCAAATGGACACACACACACAGATAGAGAAGCATCCAGAAGTGAACACATACACGTGCACAAAAGAATCATCCAATTAGCAGATAGCACAGAAATGCAGCAGAAGCAAATGCATCAAACTCATGGTAGCACTGCACCCACAGCCAAACCAAGCTCTAGAGGAATGCGGATATTCATGTTATTCATCTGAAGATTCTGAACTCTCTCTCTCTCTCTCTCTCTCTCTCTCTCTCTCTCTCTCTCTCTCTCTCTCTCTCTCACACACACANCTCTCTCTCTCTCTCTCTCTCTCACACACACACACACACACACACACACACACACACACACACACACACACACATGCATAAACATGCCTCCACATCATCAAGGTCATCTTACCATGTGGGTCGTTTGGGACCCATTGTTATGTGTTCTGCTCATCCAGGTCTAACTGTCCGCCCGGGGTGTACAGTACCTTTAGTCACCAGGCGGCCCAGGGCAACTTCCAGTCATTGTGCTGGGGAAAGCTGGATTTGCAGTACGGGGTGTACAGTACCTCCAGTCCCCTGGTCATCTTTTTTTTTCCCGGTATTTCCAAGCATTGAGATATCATCATTGAACTAACCCACCCCCGGTAATTCAGAATTTTGAATTTTGATTTTTTTTGTTTTATTCTATTAATCTGCAATAACCCATTTGTTATGCCTCGTTGAATGTCTAAGGGGCCCACAGGCCACGACCCCGGTTTCTGGCCGTGAGGTCGAAGGGGCTAAAGACCCCTCCGAAATGGCCCAGGGCCGGAGCGCCCGACAGTTGACTTCAGTCAACTGCCTGAGGCCCAACAGTCAAAAGTCAATACGGACCCAGCCCAAGCCGCCGGTCAGACACACACACTTGTTTGTATGCAGGTACCAAGACAGCATCAGGACCAAGTGGAAGTCTGCAACTGACGCAATCCAGGCCCTCGGCTGTGAGTCAGTCTGAGCCACGATGGGTGGGAGACCTCAGGCCGGTCAGCCTCGTCAAACATTACATAAGGCCCGGTCTCCAGGGAGTCAACGTCAACATTCAGTCTTGCTATGCTGCCTTGACGCTGGCTGGACGCTGGCTTGACGCTGGCTGGACGCTGGCTTGAAGCTGGCTGTGCGCTGGCACTGTGGACGATGACGCGGGACTGAGGCAGCATGCTGGCGCCTTCTCTGCTTCATTGCTGATGTGGTGTATGCCACCTGTCTTCATCGCTGATGTGGCATTGGCCACGCTAGCTACATTGGGTGATTGGTCGCGACAAGGAGGGATATCGGGATCTGTGGATGATTGATCGGGATCGGGATACTTACCTGAGGTTGATTTCGATACCGTACCCTGCTGGTTGTCTCCAACGTCTGCATGAGAGATCAGTGCCACGTGGCACCTCGTTGTGATCAGGATCTGTCAGGCTCGTTACTGGATACTGTTTGATGACGTGGAGGCGAGGGGAAGCCCGGAGAAAAAGTGGGAAATGTTGGGATATTCTCTTGGTGGTCATTGATGCTACTATCTCTTTCACCCTCTAAACTGTCTATTCCCCCTCCACTCTCTTGGTCCTCTGGAAATGAGACATTGTATCAGATATCGCATTCATGATTATTGGAGACATTGATCTGAGTAGAGTAACTCGGCATTTCGACATCTGGCAGGTATCTTCCAGTCTGGGTTCACTGCACATCAGATTGTAACCGGTATCTGGATTCAAACTTGGGTTTGTATTTCAACAGCTCATGGGTGTGCCAACTGAGCCAGGCCCGTCCTTCCCAGCTCTCACCCAAAAAGCTGCTTGGCTACCAGTGCATCCATCCCCTGGCAACCCTGGTGAGGACCAGCCAATAAACGAGTGTCTGAGAGTCTGAGACTCCTACTACCTTCTTCCCCCGAATACAACGTATGGTCATTATAGCTGTGTGTGGGGTATCTTTCAGGCTAAATACAGCTATAATGACCTAACTTTGTATTCGGGGGAAGAAGGTAGGAGGCTCTTACTGGCAGCCAGGCCAGTGACGGGGTTGGGGTGAAGTGCGGGCCTTGACTCTACATTTGCAACGTGCCTGCATATCCGTTCCTGTGTTGTGTTTTTCAGACTTTTTCTCCCCATATGGCGGGTGAAAGAGCAGCCCTCTGACTACTGGGCTACCGGCTGCTACATGGCGCCGACAGTCGCAGACAACTAACTCTGCTTGACACGAGAATCTGCAGCGTAATAACTTATAAAGGGACTGATTTCATCCGTGCTCCTGAACCCTGGTGCAATGACTTGTGACCTTCGTTCGGCCTAACAAATAAATAAAGGTCCTACATTTCTTCAACAGCAGTAAACTTGAAAACTTTCGCTGCCACGGAGTGCACACGCACACACACACACACACACACACACACACACACCCTACTCATAGAGAAATCAGCAACAAGCAACAAGTCAAACCAACATTGACCGTGTACAGTCCTTCAGGACATCAATTAAAATCGGAACGATACAGAGAAGGGTAAATTAGCAAATGGCCCCTGCACAAGGATGACGCACATAAATCGAGAAATGGTTCAAATTGAAGAAACAAAAAAAAAGTCAAACCAACATTGACCGTGTACAGAGAGGAAACAGGGCCAAGTGGCCTCTTCTTCCTCGCGACACCTTCGCCTCCATCACCTTCGCCTCCATCCCCCTTTCGGTTCTCTAGACTCGACAAGTTGGGTCTGGCGTTGCACATGTCAAGAGATTGTGGGTAAGGCTTCAGTTGACAATGGGAGCGTGGAAAAAAAAAAAAAAAAAAAAAAGGAAGACGAAGACATTTGGATCATGGACGGCGCCACTTAAACCACCAGTACCTCCGGCATTTCAAATTGCAGAGCAGCGGTGAAGGCAGGAAGCGGAAAACGTTTCGGCCTACCAGCAGGTAGCAGCAGGGATAGAAAAGTCGCAAAAAAAAGTGAACGTTTGCCGCCAGAATTTAAGTTTGACATCTTTGTTTTCTTTTCCCAGAAAGATCAGCACCAAACCTAGAGGCCTGATTTTACTTTGATTGTTTCACGCAAAATTATGAGCGCAAAAAAAACGTCGAAGTTGGTGTGCTCCAATTTTCACACGCCGGCACTGACCGCCCACATCCGGTAGCGGGACTGGTGATTTAACCCCCACGCATCTAAAGCAAGACTGCTGGAAGAAACATTTGCACAGGCTGCTTACCAGTCCACACTGAGGCCGGCATCGAGCACTGGGTCAAAATGGTGCCCAGGTTTTCTTTGTGCCTTCCGGTGCCATGGTTCCACCTGATCCACAGCTGTCTTGTTACCACAGGGCGTGGCACTGATTCCACCTCGTACCGGTCTCACCCAGCCTACCGTCTTCGCCCGAATAGAACGCCCGGTCATTGTAGACATATTTGGTGCACTTTTCTGTCCAGATGCAGCGATAATGACCGGGCGACGGGCGTCCTATTCAAGTGAAGCCGGTAGCTGCAGAGCCCAGGAATGTGGCCGCATCGGTGGGAAGGTGTCTGATATAGTCATGCTTTAAACCACTGGTACTGTGCCCAGCTATTGAACCCGAGACTGAAAATGCCCCACGCACCGGAAAAGAAAAATGAACCAGCCCCAGCCTCACTTTGGCTGTTGCCACCAGCCATTTTGGTCCGGTACCCCGACGCCCAAAAGTGGTGGCCGCATACGGCGGCGTATTTGTTCTTCAAGCAGGGAAAGGGAGTGTTATCCACCAAATTCCAAATCCATCCAGGCCGATGGGAAACCTGGTCATAAACACGGTGCACGCTCACGAAACACGAACGCTCCCAAGTATACACCTCTGACATCAGTCAGGTACACCAAAAAGAGACAAATAGACATGTTGGGCTGCTGCGCTTGCAGAACAAGGAAGCGTCAAACAGGGGCAGGCTCCTAGTGAAGCGGGATAGAGCAATGACAGTTTCGATAACCGCTGTGTTCATGGGTTTCGCTTGGTGTTGACGACCAGCATTACAACAGCCACACAGGAGGGACCAGTCCATCACCTGGACCTGGAATAGGGTGAAGACAATGTTACATGCACAGATATGTGAATGTATGTAATAACCGAGGAACTGCAATGTGATAAAAAGGACTGAATGCACAATGTAGTGCGAGTAGAACCTCGACAGACAATGAGCGTTCTCATACATACAAAAGGTGCTGAAAAGCGCAGGGAAGACTTAGATACAAAGACTGACCTGACAGGGACTGACCTCGTTCACGTAGTACAGAGTAGCGAAGCAGAATGCTAGAATGCTACTAACTAGCCCAATCAATGTTTGAACTCAGACTAAACATACATCGTATCCATCACCAGGTGTGAAGGGGCCTGGCGCTGTACACAGGAAGAGAGCGCCAGGTCCAGACATACACAGACGAAGAGGTAAGGGTCAGACGAAAGGAGGGAGAAAGATGGGAATGTCGTTAACACCAAGTCTTCGTCACCAATCCCAAATAATCCCTCGTTGCCATGTCTGAAGTCCCTAAAGTCGAGTCTGGATCCAATGTCACCAAGCTCTGTCTCTCTTCTCTCGTGGTCTGCAGATGCAGTGAAGTCAGAAGTTGAGAGGGAGAGAAGAAGATGGTGGACTGAGAAGAGGAAGAAGAAGAACTCTCTCTCTCACTGTTATGAACCAGATACCAACCTGTGATGTTGGCGCTGTGCTGCAGGTACCTCAAAGATGAAGGTGGAGCAACGGCGCTGCAGGTAGGTACCTCTGGCCTCCGCCCAAGCTCTCTCTCTCTCTCTAGTACTACCTAGCTATGGCGCCCAGCGCTGGAGACTACAGCTACCTACTGCACCCAGCGCTGATGACTACAAGCTAACGCTACTACTACTACACTGCAGCGCTCCCTCCAGAGTGCTGCTCCCGAATCCTGAAGACTACAACTTCCGACTGCCTACCTCGGAAGTGCCTGGGAAGTCCTATGTACTACCTCGGCCTGCCTCCTGACTACTGGAGGGCGAGTCAGGCCGAGGAGGCAGCTCTTGCCAATGCCGAAGTGTGCCAGGGGCTGGCCTGCAGCAGCCTGCTGAGGCTGGCGTGGGAAACAGACTAATAATAGTCTGTTCCCGAAACCCTGGTTCGGTGCCTGAGTTTCAGGGCCGGTTGTTCTGATGAACGACCGGAAATGGCCCTTTGTTTCAGGCTAAAAAGGCTGTTGCCATTTTTAGTCTGAAACGACACAGGGATAGGCCCTGGAATTCAGGCTTTCGGGCTGAACCGACATGGGGCCTGTAAGCCCTGGATTTCAGGCTTTCGGCCTGAAGTTCAGGCTTTTGGCCTGAAGGACGCAGGCCTGCAGAATGGCCTGCGTGTGCACGCGCAGCATGTAACAACAACCAGGAGCTGGCCCAGTCTGACGTTACCCGTGGCAAAGACTGCGCCACATTATCTTCGCCTCAATGAATTAGGTCACCCTCACCTAACCCCCCCTCTCTTCCCCACGACCCTACAGCCAGTCGTCAATCTGAAACCCTTGGACCAGGAGGCTGGAGCTGATTTAAACCACCAGTCGCATGCGAACCTAGCAATGCTGCTGCTGGTGCATATGGAGGCTACCATCAGGTTTGGCCTAACCAGGTCCGAGAGAGGTATCCGTGGGGAGCACAAAGGTTTGAGTGCCCCAACCTTGGCGATTTTTAATTGTTATCTCTTTCAAATGTTATAAAGACAAATCATGAATGTAAGGTAGGTCCCTATGATGTGAGTGAGACAGAGGAAGTCTGCGAGAGGGAGAGAGGATGTGAATACCAACTGGCACACAGACTTGATGCATACCTGGATCAAACGGGGTGATGCAAGGGAGCCAGAGGACCAGCAAAGTGATGATAGGGACTCAGATAGAAAATGCAGCATCAGCAAAGCAACGGAACATAAAATGAGACAACGCAGCACGGCAGAAGATTCCAAATCACGACCTGACTCATGGACTGAGACTCGACTCATCCCGTCATCAACACACACATGTGAGAGAAGAAGAGGGACCGCAAACATCGAAGAAAGGTCCCTCCTTGTACACACGCATGGGGAGTACACCGCGGATGAAGGGAGGTGGGAGGAGCAAGACGAAGATGGAGGCGAGGGAGAAGACCAGAGTCGCAGTAACGCTGTCCAAAAATAGTCTCCCTGTCAATGTCTGCCCCTGCAATGTCAAATCAGATCCTGGGCATCATACCCCCAAATAACTCTGCCTGTTCTCTCTCTCTCTCTCTCTCTCTCTCTCTCTCTCTGAATGAAGAAGAAGAGGAGGGAGGAGAAGAAGAAGAAGAAGAAGAAGAAGAGGAAGAAGAAGAAGAGGAAGAAGAAGACAACAAGAAGAAGATCAATCTCCCCTCTCTCTCCCTCTCACCTGATGAAGCGCTGCAACCACGAACTGACCGACGAAGGGGTTGTCTCCCTGATGCAGGTCGCTGGTGAAGAACCCAGCTATGGTGCCCAGGTGAGTACTCTACAACCCACGGCTATGGCCACCACTCTCCACTCTCCTCCTCTCCACTCGTACACCTTTAACTCTACCTAGCGCAGTGCCTGAAACGCTGACGCCGCTCCTGGAAGACTAGTGCTGTTCCAGCAGCGTGGCACCTCAAGAAAGGCAAGTGCCTCCATCCGCTAGTCCTGGGCTGGCCCAGATAGATATAATGTTGGGCCTGGCTGAGGATCCCACCGTTTGCAATCAGGACCATCGGATTGGAGGTCCGATCAGTGGTCCTGATTGCAGGCCCTGTAGACCTGGCCAAAAACGGCCTGCCTGTGTCCCTACCGGACGTCCAGGGGACCCTGCTGATGCACCAGGGTCCTGATGACAAGAAATAGTAGGCAGCAATCAGGAACTTGAGATCAGGGATCCAGCTCAGTCTCCTTGCAGTTTCAGCTCTGTGGGGGAAACCCTTTTTTTTTTCACTCTGTCGGGGGAACTTATTACGAAAAAAAAAAGTAAAACCTCGCCTGCAAAACAATAATAATAAATTAATAATACAAAAATGGTCCAAACCAAATGCACGTGGTTGCCCCTCCACCCTGTGACCTGGTAGGCATGACCATTCAGGTAGGTGAAACAGTTGTAGGAAGCTGATAGTGGGGTAGAGTGGCTATGGAAGGTGCGGCGTAGGTGGAGATATGGCTGGGAAGGCTAGAGTCTGAGTAATATCAGTTTCGACGAATCGACAAATTGGATCCATTCAACTGGTGGCTTGACCTACGGTCCCTTGCACGTCAATGTCAGAAGCGGCTTGCATCTCTCACCTAAAGGTCTAGGGGAGCCCTCAAGACTGGAGGAGGCCCAGTCCATCGGCTAGACCTGGACCGGGAGACACAGTCCATCGGCTAGACCTGGAACAAGGCGACCCGATGACGGAGACAAGAAGGAGACAGTCCAGCCCGTCGCTACCCGCGGTACAGGCAGGGCCTTGTTCACAGGTCTCTTTAATTCCAAGACGAAGCAGGTTACCCTCACCTGAGCCCACTTCCTCGTCCCCTACCATCTTCACCCGAATAGAACGTATACGTCGTATAGTCCTTATTGCAGCATCTAGACTGAAAGTTGACCCAAGTATGGCTATAAACTTTGAGGGAAGACGGTAGCTTCCTAGCCCTGCCAATCAGAACTGCCTGAACTTGGGAGCTGAGTTAACCTGCAGTCCCTTTGCGCCACCAATCCGTTTCGCAGATATTCTGTTCCGACATGCCGGTTCACCCACCATGTCAACAAGGGCTCGGCCTACCAAACCAAAATGGCTGGCACCGTCAGGTAAAAAGAAAACACTTTGCAGTGTTTGCAGCACCCACACCGCGCACCGCGCAGCAGCAATCCAGGTTGGAAAAAAAGGCTCAGAAGGACTGGTAGTTTAGTATCAGCCACCATTTGAAGTGATTTGCCAATCTCGAACCAGATACTAAAGAACCAGAAGACTGGGGTTCAGCTAGTAACGTGCCACCCTCTCGGAGCATTCACTAACCAGACTGCGGAAATAGAGAAGAAGACCGCACCGGTCCCCCACACATGGAGCAGAAAATGACCTTAGGTGTTACGAACTTCGCCAGGGCTCGATCCCTGGTCTATCTTTTGCTGTTTCGGCTGCATCCCGTTTTCGGCCTGGCACCCTTTTTCCAAACCCCTCCTTTTGGTACCGTAGGATTTTGGACAACTGGCGCCATGCTGCAATTCGGGCGCCACTTTCAAATACTGCATTTTTCAGTTCTGCCCTCGGGGCCTTTGCAGAAATGCCCCTGGTACCGTACGTGTCACCGGTACTTATACCGGCTCCCCGTACGGTACGGGGACCAGTCTCGTACCAGTTCTCTGCTGCTGTACTTGTACTCAGTGTGACTTGCCGTTTCGGCATTGGGAATCCAAGACTTCGACTTTGTGCCTTGCCACTGTGTCTGCGTCCAACCCTCAGTCCGAGTCCGTCGTGTCGAGTGAGTGAGTGTGTGTGTGTGCTCTCACTCTCTCCCTCTCTCTCTCCTCTCCCTCGGCTCACCCTCAGCCTCACTCCCGTTACATTAGGACAACTAACCAAACACAAGCGCAAACACAAGTTCAATCAGCAACACGGGATCACATTCCAGGAACCAAAGGTCAGAACCGGGGACCGACAGGAACAGAGCACAACAGCTCATTGTTTGAGTTGGGTTACCAGGAGGAGACCAGCCTGGCACACGAGCGGATAAGGAGTTCCACCAGCACAGCATAGGTTAGCATAGCAACACAGAAACCGACGGTTGGAATTTTGAACCAAGGTCGATAGGAATGGTATGCAACAGCTCGTCTTCTAAATCGCGTCTGGACCTAGGTACACAAGAGGCAAAGCAAAGTCAAGAGTACCATTCCTTGAATTTCCTTCTTTCTTTTTTCTTTTTTTTACTCATCTGCTTCCAGTGGAGTTTGAACTCAGGTCAGGGGTGTACAACTGGGCTTTGGTAGGCTACCGTCGTCACCCGAATAGAACGCCCGGTAATCATCGCCACATCTGGACTGAAAGTTGGGCCGAATGCAGCTATAATGACCGGGGGTTCTATTCGGGTGAAGACGTTAGTTGGTTAAGAGCACCATTCCTTGTTGGCCAATTCAAATTCCAAACCAATTGCCTGCAAGCATGTTAAGACGGGCGGCCATTAAGTCATCAGGATAAGTACAAGGTCGACAGCCAAGTGAGGTCAACAGTTGAAGCCCTCGCTCATGAAAACCCTCTAGATCTAGACGTAGGGCGTACTCACACAAGCGGCATCTCAAAAATGTATCTGATCGCATTGACGGCCATAGCTGGATGTATCTGGCCGCAATTCCGTCCAGAAATGCGTTAAAACTTAAAAACTCCTAGTGTGAGTATGCCCTTAGATAGTTCACAATAAGTACATACCGAAAACAAAAAGGCCCGTCCAAAGCAGAAAGAAAAGAGTATTGACACAGAGGGAGGATCAGATGGGAGTAAATATGCCTCCTGGATGATGAGACAATTCACGCACTTACGTGAAGCTCTTCAACCGGCGCAATTCCTCTGGAACTGGCCCAGTCAGATTATTGCCTTCAACATGCCTTGGCAGCAGACGCATGGACAAGGAGGCAGAATTGAGATTCAACAACATGCAGAACACCACAGCACAGAGTTCAACATTGCTGAAAATAATTTTTGGAAAAAAAAATAAAGTCTTCCGAAGCTCCTTCCCGCACTTCTTTTTCCTTAATGCACTGTCAACCTACACCTACATCCATCCACACTTAAACAAATCCTGTTCTGAGAAGTTGAGAACAAATTAACCTCTCTCTCTCTCTCTCTCTCTCTCTCTCTCTCTCTCTCTCTCTCTCTCTCTCTCTCTCTCTCTCTCTCTCTCTCTC